TAAACTTGTTATGACTTTATAATAAACAATATGTACTGTAATTAATTATTTTTACTTTTCAATAGCAACAATAATTCAACAAATATGATCATCTTACAAGTTAGTTTATATTTGAACCTTTTATCGAGTGATTTAGACTAAAACTTATTAGATTAATCTACGTTTTGATTGCTCTTTGCCATTTATAACTAAACTTTGCCATCTTTACTTAGCAATTTATACTCCAATCAATACATATTTTTACTATTATTTAATATACAATAGTATTTTCCTCTTTAAGTACGGACTGAATATAGTACTATAACTTACATTACATTATACTGTATAGTGCATGTTAATTGTAATACGAATTGTAATACATAATTGTAATATACTTTGCATCCATACAATAAACCAAAATAACGACATAACAGCTCTTTAAAAATTATAAAATAATACTCTATTTTTCAATATTCAACACATTAAATAAGCATTTGATATAATGTATTACTATTTTTATTATTTTGATAATTATAAAATAAAAATATTAACATGGTTTAAATTACAAATTAAAAATACACAAATTAATGTTTAAAAAATGGGATTTTAACGATAAGTGATAACAAATGATTAGTTGTTTTCGCGGATCAATCCATACTTGGCCTCGAGATCATCGGCTTCTTTGAAACTCTGGGCGCCGAACACATACTTAACGGGCATTTTCTTGTCCTTTTCAATGGTGTGAAGGGCGGGAGTGAACACACGCCAGGCCTCACTCAACTCGTCTGTGCGGACAAAGTTAGCCTGTTCACCGTTGAATACATCTAACAATAAGCGCTCGTAGGCATCGGGAAGGTATGCGTTCTATACATACAATTAAATATATGATTATTTAATAAATACTGTGAGAAGTACAATATAAAAGCCATACATAGAAACGAGTGGCATAAGTGAGATCGAGTTCAGTCTCAATCAATTCATTGCTCATTCCGGGTCTCTTAATGTTAAGTCTTTGATAAACGGCTTCATTGGGTTGAATACGAATGATAGTCATATCCCGCTTCGCCTGACCATTGAACAGGTCTTCAGCCAATGGTTTGTATTGAACCCTAACCTCAACTCTGCTCTCATCAGTCGCTTTACCAGATCTGATGAAAAAGGGAACTCCTCTCCAGCGGTCGTTATCGATGTGAAGCGTGACCAGAGAATAGGTGGCAGTCGTCGAGTTCTTGTCTTTCACGGTGTCGTCTTCGGTATAACCCTTAGTGGCGTCGCCCACACCCTTAGGATTCCCCACGTATTGACCCAACACTATGTCTTCCATCGCTAAGTCTTTCATGTGTTTCAATAGATATAACTTTACAAAATAAAAATTGTTTTTAAAAATTAAAACTATGTTATGATAAAACTTTTGAAAAACAACAAATTTAACAATAATGAAACTCACTTTTTCGTCACGAATCTTCTCCGCATCGTTAGCTTCCGGTCTCTCCATAGCTATGAGTGCCAACACTTGAAGTAAATGGTTTTGCACCACATCTCGAATCATACCATATTCATCAAAGTAAACCCCTCTTCCCATTGTGCCGAACGGCTCTTTGAACAGCACCTCAACGTTAGCGATGTGTTCATTATTCCAGGTCGGCTCCAACTGACGGTTCCCAAAACGTAGGGCAAGAATATTCTGTACCATCTCTTTACCCAAATAGTGGTCAATCCGATAGATCTCTTTCTCTGTCCAAATCAGTGACAGCGCGTCCGACAACTCCTTTGAAGACTCGCTGTCTTTTCCAAACGGCTTTTCAATCACTAGTCGAGTCCAACCACTGGTTAATGATTAAATTAATAAATCATATGATATTTCATTTGGATATAGATTTAATAAAAATATTATTTCCAATATGCAATAAAAACTTACGTTTTAGAGTAAAGGGTGGTTTTGACTGCAGCCGCAGTTTTGGCAAAGAGATACGCGGGAAGAGCGAAGTACACCAATCGGTGTCCTTTCTTTTTACCGGTTTCAAACTTGTTGACGATATCAGTAACGGGTGCCAAGTCTTTGTCCGATTGAGAGTCGCCTGAATTATAGGTCACAATCTTCCAGAACTCTTTGTACAGTTGCTTCTCGTGTTCATCCCTAAGGGTATTGACGACATACGGGTCTACAAGTTTCCTAATGGCCTCAACCGATGACTTTGAGTGCGCAAAACCCGCGATCTGGAAGTTCTTCGGTAATAATCCCTCCTTATATAGTGTACTAAATGTGTCATTAAAATCAGATTTAATATAAAATAAATAACAAATTTTTGGTATTATAAAAATAATTATTACCAAATATTATAATTATAGTGATGAACATAAATAATTAACTTACAAAAGTGTTGGCATTAACTTTTTCTGAGACAAATCACCCTATTATACAAGAATACAAATAAATTAATTTGTAATTAATTTTGGATATGTCATGCCTGTAAATGTGCATGATGTTTCTCATTATATTTGATTTTATATTAATTTCTAATTGATTATGATTATTTAAATAAGTTTAAATATGTTTTAAAACTATAATATTGTTTGAAAATGTTATATGTCATGCCTGTAAATGTGCATGATGTTTCTCATTATATTTGATTTTATATTAATTTCTAATTGATTATGATTATTTAAATAAGTTTAAATATGTTTTAAAACTATAATATTGTTTGAAAATGTTTGAAACTTTTTATAGCTATGTTTTTCACAGCATTTACTGAATGCATGTATTGTGTGCATTGAGAGGAACCAATGTGCTCAAGGTCAATGTTAATGACCATCATAAAAGGGTTTAGAGCCCAAGTGCTGGCTGAATATACAGTATACTGTACTGTACTTTAAGTCACTCTCGGATCAGCTCGCAAACTATGTAGTTGTGTCTGATTTTACACAACAGTTTATATTATTACAATTTTCAATAAAAACTATTTTAATTAAACAAAATCAGTTTTAATAATTATTTAAGTGTAAAAGTATTGACCAAGGTAAAACGTACTTGGTCGGCAGACTTCCCACAAAAACACACCTAACATTTTGGCGCAGTCGACAGCAGGATTGGGAAGTGTTAAAGACATCGTTGGACTCACCGTGGTGGTCACAACTGCGGAGGAAATCGATCGCTATCAATCGGTTAAAGTAAGGCTAAATATAATTGTCTGAGAGTCATAATATTAAATTCAATTGTTTGCGAGTCAATTATATATTTATTAAATGTGGTTAATATAATAATTAAATTAGTTAATTATTAATATTTAATGCTATGGATTTTAATGATCCTGATGCTGATGCTAGTGGTGGGAATGCCACAGGTAATATTCCCACTATTAATTTTAATCAAATGAGCAATGCTATTGCCTCGAACTTAGCTAGTTCACGGCAACATCACATAACTGTATTTAATGGCACTAAAAATGAAGACCCGATTAAATTTATGCGCACTTTTGAACGGGTAGGTCGTGCCTTGAAATGGGAAGATGACCAATTAATGGCCAAATTTCCAAATTATTTAGCTGGTAGTGCTGAAGAATGGCATTATGTCAATATTGATTGCGCTGTAGATCGCGTAGTAGGTGAAGCGCGTGATTGTGATGTGGCTTATACGCCTGATGATTTTAATGCAATCAAGAAATTATTTTTAAATCACTTTATGCGTGGTGATTATAAAGCATATTTAATGAGAGAAATGGCAAAGCGCAAATACACGCCAGAGACTGAAAGTATTTTAAATTATATCACCTCAATCAAAAGCATTTGTCATGATCTAGATGATAAAATGAGTACAGAGCAGAAAATGAGTTATATTCTGCAGGGATTAGATGACGAAACGGCCGCTCAAATCACCTATTTCAGTCCAGAAAGTGTGGCTGATCTAGAGCAAATTGCCAGAAATGTAGAGAAAGGCAGAGAATTGCTTAAAAAGTCAAAACCTGATTTGACCAAGGGCACAAATAAACGTATTAATGCAGTTAATACTGAGAATAAGTGTGACAATACAGATAATTCTGATAATGTAATTCTGAATGCAATTAATAAATTGACTGAAAATATTGCTGTATTAGCCGTAGGAACAAATGATCAAGGTAAAGGTTCAAATCAGAATAGGTATTTGAATAAGAGACCTGATCAGGGTAATTCAAACAGTCCTAATAGGAATGGGTCTGGGAATAATAATTATTACGGGAATAAACAGAATAATTTCAAGCGTAACTTTAATTACAGGATTAATTCTAATAATCGAGGTAATTTTCAGAATAGAAATAATTACCAGAATCAGAATGTGAATAATAATGGTAGATATTCACAACAATATTCTCAACAGAATTACAATATCAAATGTCATAAATGTGGTAATTATGGTCACAAAAAGTATAACTGTGCTCTTAATGATCAAGGTAATCAGAGAAATGATAATGGTAAAACTGATTACAAACAAAATGATCAAAATAAAACTGAATCTAAAGTTAATGTGAATAATGTGGCCAATATGAACAATAAGTTATTATTCATAGATGTAGAAATTAATGATAGAATATACACCGGATTAATTGATCCTGGTAGTGAAATCACATTAATTAAACGCAATGTTTGTGAAGAATTAGGGTTAATTATTGGCAAATATTCCGGTCCACAAGCGCGCGCAGCCAATGATTCAGTATTGAAAATATATGGCCAAGTTCAATTCGGTATGACAGTCATAAATGACTCTGGTAAAATGTATGGCACTAATATGCATGTATTAGTTGCGGATAAATTGCCTACAGATATATTGATTGGCCTTGATACATGTCAAAAATTGAAACTTCATATTGATTGTGAGAATATGAGAGTTTACGTTAACAATGCAAATGTTAATTCTATTGAATTTAATTTAAAAGCGCAAAACAAAATAAACATGATGTTTATGGCACCGGCACCAAATACAGTTGATATGATAAACAATTTGAAAAATACTGTATTTGTTGACAAAAATAAAACTGAAAATTGTGAGACAGAAAATCACTCTGGTGATTTAATGGGTTTAAAAGCATTTGTGCACACAACTTCTCCGTGTGTAATAAAACCCAATTGTACTCAAGTATTGAATGTCAAACTAAGTCATAAATTTAAGTTTGATAACAAAACATGCATGCTATACTCAGATGATATACAATACGCTAAGAATAAAATATCACTGAGAAATGCCATTAAACTTGGTACAAATAGTGAAATGCCTGTCCAAGTATTAAACACGGGCAATAAAGCGATTTATCTCGCTGAGAATGCACTTATAGGGTGTGCCGAAATTGTGCCTGAACACAATATATTGCCATTGAATTTAAATACTGAACACAATATTTTAAATGTAAATTCCGTTGGCATTGACATTGACAATGAAACTGTAAGTTACAAACACGCTCAAGGTAATAACATTGAAGAGAGTTTTATTACCGTGTTTGGTAAACAAGTGACATGTGGTCCACACCTAACCCCCGATGAGAAAACCACTCTCATAGAATTAATTGAAAAATACCCTAATGTATTTACTTTTGACGACAACACAGTTGGTCGTATAATTAATTATGAATACGATATACGCCTTAAACCCAACACAATGCCCATACATTCAAGTCCCTCAAAAGTTTCCCATGAGCAAATGAAAGTAATAGAAATTGAGGTCCAAAAGCTAAAAGACCGTGGTATAATTACTGATTCATATTCACCATATAGTTCTAGGATTGTGCTAGTTAAGCGCAAAGATAATCGTGTTCGCATGTGCATAGATTATCGTGGTATCAATGAATTAATTGAATTCGATGCCTATCCATTACCTAATGCTGATGTATGTATTCGCTCATTGAGTAATATGCGCTACATTACTAAGCTTGATGCAAACAATGCGTTTCACCAAGTTAAATTATCTGAGCGTTCAAAAGAATTAACAGCATTTGTTACACCAAATGGACAATTATATGAATATAATACTGTGCCATATGGTTTAAGTATTAGCACAGCGGCATTCAATAGGGCACTTGACCTAGCTATATCTGGTCTAAAATATGTTGATTGTGTGACATTTGTGGATGATCTCGGTGTTGGTGGCGAGACATATGAGATCCACAATGAAAGGCTTAAAAGGGTGCTAGATAGATTAGATAAATTTGGTATAACTTTAAGAGCACCTAAATGCAATTTTGCAATGAATTCTGTTGTATTTTTGGGCTATAAAATTAGTGAGCAAGGTATTGAAATTGCTCCCGCATTACTTAAATCAATTGAGAGTTTACAAATTCCTACAAATGTGTCGGAAATTAGATCACTTATTGGTGTATTATCTTATGCTAAAAAGTTGATAGATCATTTTTCACTAAATATTGAGCCTATTTCCCGTTTGACTAAAAAATGTGAACCATTTATTTGGGGCCCAGAACAGCAAGATGCGTTTGATAAAATAATTACCATGTTTAAAACTAAACCATTTATCAAACCATTTGACAACAATTTAGAGACAGAATTGCGCACAGACAGCTCATTAAGGGCAATTGCAGGTGTTTTAATGCAAAAACACCAGGATAAATTTTATCCTGTAGGTTATTATAGCCGAATCACCTCTGAAGCAGAGAGACGCTATGCTATTTATGATCTGGAAGTTTTAGCCGCCATTGAATCTATGGAATATTTTAGTGATTTATTAATTGGCAAATATTTTAAATTAATTGTTGATAATCGCGCCGTGAGTTTTATTAAGAATAAAAAGGATTTAAAAATTGGCCGATTAAGCAGAGCTGCATTATTCATGCAAGAATACAATTTTGACATTGTTTGTATTCCCGGAAAAGCTAATAAAATTCCCGACTTTTTATCTCGATTTCCGATTAATCACAAAATTGTGGATGGTAAAAACATCACCAATGATGAGATTAATGGATTTGATAATACAATTCAAACTGTAAACTCAATTAATTTGTCTGATACTGAAATTAGACATGATCATTTAATTAGTCAACAAAACACTGATCCAGAATTCAAGACTATTATTAAATTAATTAACAATAGATCAGGATTAAATAAAGCACTCACAAACAAACTCGATAAGTTTATTATTATTGATAATATTTTATGCAAATTTCTTATTAAGAATAATATACCTTATTATCTCGTATGTATACCAAAGTCTATGATAAATGATATACTGTATATGTACCATGATCTCCCGAGTAGTGGTCATTTTGGCATTAAACGAGTTAAAAATAAATTAACTAAACAGTTCTATTGGCCTAATATGAATGAATATATTGAATGCTATGTTAAGTCATGCATTGAATGTCAACAGCGCAAAAGACTCAAACAAAAGCCCGTAGGCTTAATGCAGCCCATTAGGGTAAGTTATGTGTTTGAGCAAGTGGCAATTGACCATGTTGGCAAACTGGTCAAAAGTAATTTAAATGAATACATAATTGTATTAACGGACACTTTTTCTAAATTTGCTATTTGTAAAGCTGTCCGCAAAAGTGATGCCAAAACTGTAGCTAAATTTTTATTTGAGGACTTAATATGCAGTTATGGTATTGTGCCCGAGCGTTTGCTATCTGATTGTAATCAAGCATTTCTTGGTAAAATTGTCACCCATTTAAACATTTTAATGGGCATAAAAGCAGTCAAAACATCTGGGTATAGACCTAGTACAAATTCTGTGACTGAACGCTATAATGGTACTTTAATTGATTGCTTAAGCATGTTTGTTAATGAC